TAAGGTTTTTCCTCCCGCCGCTAGTCTGGTCCCGCCACCGCGCCAGCCCCAATTAACATACAGAGACTCTGTATTTGATATAATGCTGTTGGCCAGGTATTAGTTTCTTATCGGCTAGCTCTGTCTTAAATATTAACCCATTTCTGTTAATCTACATATTTCCACATGCTTTCATCTTACCAGGGAACGGGGCAGGCATCTCATCTCCCCAGTCTCTCTCTCCATCTTGACTCCTTCCTACTTCTTCTTTCCTCCTTGTCTCCTAGTCCCTCCTATCTTCTTTTCCTGTTGGACAACAGTGCTTTATTCATTAACCAGTATGAGAAACATATATATAGAATGACATCTCCCATCAACCCACCCTGTGATGAATGGAACCTTCATACATGTTTTACTTAAATAGTTAACACCTAGAGTTGGAGTTTCATGTCTGAGGGAAAATAGAAAGAAATGCTGGTCTGTTTGGGACTTTGAGTAACCATGGGGATATAGTCTTCAAAATGTTGATGTTAATAGTGGCGGCACTAAATATGATAAGTAGTATGGTTTGGAAAAACCAGTTTAGTAGTGTTTTGTGTGCATTTGTGTGTGTGTGAGAGAGAGAGAGACAGAGAGAGAGAGACGGAGAGAGACAGAGAGGCAAGGAGGCAGTTTCCTCTTGAGTCCTGGCTGGCTTTGTTCTTCTACATAGCTCAGACTGGCCAGGAACTCATTGCCTTTCTGCCTCAGCCTCTGTCGGGGTCAGTTTTGAAGTTCTCTTGGACATTTCCCTGTGTCCTGTGTTCATGATGCACCCTTGGGCTTGCAGGAATCCCCTGGGGTTCTTCTGCATACTTGACAAGGCCCTTGGCTTCACCTCTCCAGCAAGAGTCTGGTGAGCTGAATGATACTCTCCCTTTCCCAGGTCAGGTTACCTACTCGGACTGAAGAACAGCTGGAAGAAAACTGTTTTCCATTACCCTGATGGGACTCCCTCCTTGTTTCTGTAGCCTCCCTTGCCTTCTTGCCTCGCTGGCTGTCACTGTCACTGGTTTTGGCTGTCACTCATTTTCCGATTTGGGGGCTGCTTCTTGAGTTTGTTAAGTCTTCCCTAAAGAATAGCCAAGATGAAGAGAGCTCGGAAGGGAATTTCTTAGTGGCCCACACAGTGGAGGGTGTACACCTACCCCACAAAGGCCAGCCCCACCTCAGGCCCATGTCTTAAGCCCCTGAACTGTTAGCATTGTCCCATACCCAAGGCCTCCCTCCTGCTCTCCCACCTCCATAGGGTATTCCTGCGAGATCTTCCCTGAGTGAAACAGAGACAGTTCCTCACAAAGGGGAGGCCCGATCAGGGACACTGCAGTGTCATCTCCCCTCGCAGTGAGAAGGGTCCAGATTCATCACCTGAGAAACCTTTTCATCCTGCCTCTGCAGGCACTGTGGAGGAGGCGGAGGGGGAGGATTATGGGCCTGAGTAGGGCTGTGGTCGCTGGGTTGACTCACAAAGCACACACACAAACTTGCTGGGACAGAGCCGTGGGTATGGGGCCACTTGTGTTTGCGTAAGCTGGAGAGGGGCTCATAGATCCACAGAATATAACATCCAAGGGATGCAGTTGCCTGGAGCTCCTGAAGATGAGGGCTACCCTGCTCCCACATCAGGTGGCAGGTGACAGTGGGGCTATGAATAGGACTGTTCTGTGCTGGGTGGTACTGTAGAGCTCATGGCCTATGAGGGGCCCTGAAACTTCTGCACCATGGTAGTGGCGGGACCTAGAAGAAAGAAAGAGCTGTTCTTCCATCTCTCCCCCCACCCTCAGGAGAAGCTGTTCTGCAGCTCAGGTCAGGGAGACAGAAGTGTCACGCTGCCCTACAGAAATGCTAGGTATCGATGTGTGGTTAGAGCCACTTGCTCTTCGCTCAGCACTGAAAGTGTGTGGGAGCGCGGCGGTTCAGAAGCCTTGATGGCGGTTTCACTGCTGTTACACCCATTAAGTATTTAGCCTTTGGACAAGTGGTGGAATTCAGACTTTGCTCCTGGAGGGATGTGCCCTGCACAGCACCAGAGACCACTGGTCTCGTGTTAGCTCTGTATAAGTTCTCGTCTGATATGTTTAATCCTATTCAGTGAAGTAGCGTATATACAGATCTTCTCATGGGGCAGGATAGGTATGATAGGGCTGCAAGCTTCTGCCTATCCCTTGATAGGATGTGCTCTGTCCCTGACTCCTGGGAGACCCTTGCCCAGTATCCTCAGGTGTCTAGGACATTTATATGGCTTTAGCCTCAGGGTCAACTCCTTCCCTGAAATGCATTTCAAAGACTGGTATCTAAGACTTGGTATTTACATAAGGGGCCGCTCATGGTGTAGATGTGGCTGGCTGCTGTGGGGTCTCCCAAAAAACACAACTAACCTACAGGAAAAACAACAGCAATGAGTCGTGGGATCTCTTGTGCTCCAAATCCAGGAAGGTGTATGAACTTACCAAGCATGGCTAACCTCTCCAGCCTGGGCAGACTTGACAGCATGCAGGATGGGCTAGCTTATAGTCTTGGACAGTGTTCAGCTGTGAGGTGAAACGGGACCCAGAGAATGGCAAAGTCCAAGTCCCTAAGACTTTGGGCTTTTTGTATGAGAGATGGCAAAACTGTAACGGGGTTGCGGGGGCGGGGTTCTAGTGTTTGTGGGGTTGATAAGTAAGAATGCTAATAGGTCATTGATAAGTAAGAATGCTAATAGGTCAGAAGTGGGAGGAGACTTCTAGCCTTGAAACCACCCCAGTGTGGCCTACGACATTCTGCTCTGCATGTAAATGCTGCTGCCCTTGGTGTGATGCACACTTGAAGTCACACCAGAGGGCTCTGGGAAGGCCTGCCTTTAGATAGGTTGGCTGTGAAGAGGCAGGTGGACAGGAAAGTGCTGCAGGCTCCAGCTGTCCCATTGCTGGCCATGACCTTCTGTGTTAATTACAGTTGTGACGTCCTACCACACCTCCTGTGCTCTGACTCTGTGTCTGCTCATCTGAGGAAGGAACAGCCAGTCGACCTCCCTGAAAAAGTGTCTTTACTGTTCACTTTGTCTCTAGGAAGTTTTCCTCTTTGGGTATATTTTTCCTGGGTTTGTTCATTTCTCCTATCAAGGCTACTTGTTTAAATCCCATTGGCTGCAGGCACTGTCCTAATAATGCCAATGGCATTGGGTGGTAAGCCAAACTCCCGAAGTTCCTCTCTTGCTGGCTTGACTTACAGTGCAGACTGGCTCCCGGCAACCATGGTAGGGTTAGGTGGAATGTGCAGCCCCAGAGAGGGACGGACAAGCAAGTGAGTCAGCAAGCCTGGCTTGATGGAGATTTGTGCTTTGTGTCGTCTGGGTTTAGTGACCATAATAACCCCCCCAAAACTTGGTTCAGGCTCCCTGTGTTTTGTAGACGTTATTTCAGGCAAGCGACTTGAGGCCTCCTCACGGTTTGCCCTCACAGGGAAGCCTGTGTTGTTTTGCAGGTCTCTGACTTGATTCCAGAGAGGTGCTTTGGGGACAGCTAGTGCTAGGCACAAGTGGATCAGACCTGGACTCTGTCCCCGATTCGTGTAGACTAATGTAGCACCCTCACCCTGAGCTGAGGAACACAGGACACAATACAGGCTTTCCACAGCAGTGTGTAAGGTTCCTTGCTCTGTGGGTATCTGCATAGGCACCTGGAGTGGTAAGCCAGCGTCTGATGCCTGTAAGTTTTTGTTTTGGCTGTAGTGATTCCTTTGGCATGGGTACACCACTTAGGATTCTAACACAATGGGTGTGGTGGAGGGCCTGACAGTTGGAGGCAGACCTCTGCCAAGAGGGGATCCCTAGGGTCTAGACCAACAAGGGGCCAAGTGTGGAAGCGTGGCTCTTGGGCATGTTTTGATGGTTTCGTACTTGTACTACCTGATGGGTTCACTGAAAATTTGTGTCACCTCCTATCAGAAGTCTCCACGGCCTCTCAGCTCCGTTTTTATGACTCCTTTTATATTTCCTTTTTAATTACTTCCAAATGGTTTAAAGTCCACCTCACCCTATGACAGTTCCCTTTACTCACACCAGCAGGGATGATGGCGTGTTGGGGTATAAAGCTAGACTTCCAGGAAACCTTGGTCTCTGCATATTCCTTCCTGCTTAGTAAGTTACTTAATAGATCTACAGTGATTCATTTCAAGATCCTGATCTCACAAAAGAAATCGTATAAAATGATTTTTTTTCAAGAATCAATAAAATACATCGTTTTTTCTCCAAAGCTTGTCTTTGTAGAGGTTGGGGCTAGAGACCCCTGTAAATAGCCTTAGGCCCCCTCAATGCCAGGTTGTCTGGCATCAAGACCCGATCCCTTCCCGTATTGTAATCTTCCTCAGTCCATAACTAAACTGCTTTAACGTCCACATGGAAAAAACATGATTGTTGGCTAGCACATTATAGAATGTGGCTTCCCAGAACATAGATGAGCAGGTAGGATATATGGTGTGTAGATATGGAAGGGTCACAGGTGTGCTTGGCCTCAGACATTTCCATCAAGGGCATGAGATTATAATTGGGCTAGAAATGCCCTTGCCAGTTATGCTGTGGCCATGGTCACCAGCAGAACACATTCCTTCTATGTTGATGGTGATGGTGTGAGCAACCATACAGTCCAGCCCACTGCTGTCAAAGCATAGATGTGGGTACAGTAGTGTTTGGCACCTGTTACCTATTTACTGTACTCAGTCCTTGTTCTTGGTGGATTCATCCACAGCCTTAGGATAGTAATCTAGGACACACACACACACACACACACACACACACACACACCCCACGTGGCCTAAGCTCGTCATAGGCTACACTGTTGTTTAAATGTGAGACAGTCACTCTATGACATTAACGTGGTGCTAGATCTTTTAAGCTGTGTTACCATCAGTAAGCCATACATTGACTCATTGGAATAGGAAACTGTGATCTGTGGATTTGTGGCATCAGGTCTGATGTGTCTTTTTACCTTTCACCTGTTCAGGGAGCAAGCCTCAGAGGTTGGAAAGAAGTGACTTCTCTGTTTAATAAAGATGACGAACAGCACCTGATCCAGACGTCCAAATCTCCCAAGTCCAAAGGGTGAGTCAGCAGCAGCCATCTTGAGAGGCAAAGAGAATGCTGTGCTAAAACAAGAGGGGCTCTCACAGGCCCACCATGGCCTCTGGAGAGGCTCTAGGCTGCAGGTCCAGGGGAGCTATGAGATGTGAATGCTAGGGTTTCTCTACCCTATGAACACAAAGAGATGGAGTGCACTTTGTGGATGCTCTGGGGACAAGTGAAGTGTACTTTGGGCCGAGGTTATGTAACCAGTGAAACATTCTGAAATGCTAAAGCAAAGGAAAAAAACTAAAACTTGTAAATTGAACTCACTAGCCGTAAGCTAGCCTGCAGCCATGCTCATGAGTATCCAGGGAAGCACTGTGTTGTGTACACCACTGGGACTAAGGTGTGCTATGGTGGTAGAACCCTCCCTGGCATGCACACGTGCCGGGTTTGATCCCAGCCATCAAAACTAAACAAAACCACAAGTATTGATTGGAAACCATAAAAGGTTCTAGGAAGTTAAGCAAGTATAAACTGATACATTGTTGCTACCTTGTTATAAATTCATCAGAATGGTAAAAGTGCATTTGGAGATAAAAATGTAACTTAAAGAAAAGTAACAGGACTTCCTGTTGATAGATAGTACGATGGTGACCTTGGAAACCTGTAGCTGTGTTTCCTTCTGTCTCGCTGGGACAGAGTTGCTCTTGTAGTGCTGAAGCAATGGTTTCGCAAAAGGTCTTGGTCATTGGGTGATGTGCTGGTAGGTCTAGAAGACCTGTGTCCCAGTGTCTGCAGCAGAGTCTCAAGTGATGCTGATGTTTAGGCATTCAGAACACTAACCTATTCTTTGTAGCCATCATTTCCTTTTCATCATGGAAGTTTTGAGTCCTTATTTTCTTGAGTAAATCACCTACTAAATGTGTAAGACTAGTTTTCTCTATGAAGAACTCTACTGAAAACCCTCTTAGTACACAGAATTTCCCCTTTATTTATAACCTAAACTGGCCCTTGGTTTTTCATGTCTGATTTGCTTGTGTACTCCCTTCTACTGCCTTTGACAGTTGTTTGTTACAGCAGCTTCCAGTCTTCCTTCTGAGGACTGGTCCTTTGTTCACACTGCATGGGACCCAAAGTGTAGCATATACCCAAAATAAGCTTATACCAGCTAAGTTTCCCATCATTTTTAATGTTTACCCCAAACTTGGGCACAGATTTCTATTAGCTTTCTAAGTCCTTTAAGGTTTTTAGAAAGGGCGTTATCAAAGAGACACCATGTGACCAAAGCTAAACTTTTCACCTACAGAAGTAGTCTCCGACTAAAAGAGGAGTTGAAGGCGGAGAAGAAATCAGGATTTTGGGACACTTTGGTTCTGAAACAGAATGTCCAGCCTAAAAAACCAGACCAGATTGAAGGTTGGGAGCCTCCCATACTTACTGCTGAGGACGTGGCGGCTGACACCGAGGATGGCAGCAGTGGCTGCCCACCCTGGTCTGGCTGGGAGGATGATACCAAGGGCTCTACCAAGTACACCAGCCTGGCCAACTCAGCTAGCAGCTCCCGCTGGAGCCTCCGGTCAGCAGGGAAGCTAGTCAGCATCCGGCGACAGAGCAAGGGCCACCTGACAGACACCTGTGAGGAGGTGGAATGAACCGAAGGGGCTTCACTGTGACATCACATGCTTTTAGGGTTGGCCAAGCCTGGTGGCCCTTCCACTAGTACACCATTAATTTGTTGAGCCCTCTCGTAGTCAAGGAAAGGGATCCGCTGAGTTGCTTGTGTTTTGTGCTCCATGACCCACATGCGCCATGGCTTCCTGGTGGCATCTGGTTGCCTTATTGCAGAAACATCCACCCACCGGGTTCTTGTATGCTGAAAGGACATGTGCATTACAGACACTGTCCTGTGAGATAGAATAGTGACTTGCAGGCTCCTCTGAGTTTCATGCCAGCCTCGGTCACTTCTTTTAGACCCTCCCACATCTTGTCCCTACGTGTGACATGAGTGTGAACATGGCCTCTGTGGTACCTTCTTCCTTTTTCTGAATACAAGAAGCCTCTTCCAAAGGTTACAGTACTTCAGTTTAGCAATGAGTTCATTTTTCCCTTATAAAGATAAAAACAAAGCAAAATCTAGATGCTGGAAGCGACTGAGGCGGTTTGAAGTAGACTGTCAGGACATCTTGAATGGCCCGTCTGCTGCTGAGGAGGAGTGGCCTCCAGTGTGAGCTTGGGTGACAACCGGTTCTCTTATGGAATTTCCTTTTTACTTTTGAACTTTCAAATACGGATCTTTATTTTCTTTTTTAAGAAAGTTGATTTTAAACTTAAAGAAGAAATGCTATGAATGAATCCTAGTCACCCAAAAATCTTAGCTTTGCTCAGAAAACATCAGCCTGCTCAATATAGAGTTGAAACTGTATGTAAGATACTGAAGTGCCTCTTTTCTATTATCCTCAGATGTTTAGTTTTTCACAATGGGATACTTTTATGATTGATGTTAAATCTATAAGAAGTGTTATCTCCCCAACTAGCTGTTGACCGTCCTCACTTGTGGTTCTGTGTATTGGCAGGATGGGTATCTCTGTAGGGGAAACTCAACAACAGGTGGCATACATGTTTTTGTTTCCAGTCACAGTGCTTTACAGAGGAGGTGTATCTCTCTTTGTTTTGGTTAAAAACTAACAGCCTCTAGTCACGTTGTCCTTGCGTCTCTCAGTGTAAACAATGTGCTGCTTCATGGACTGGATGTCCTACTCACTGCTGTGTGGCACATTGCAAAGGCCCTGGTGCATATGTGGTGTCAGAGCGTCTATGTCTTTAATGGAACAAGCTTACTAGATCTGTCATCTGCAGCTACATGTCTGTCCACCACCTAGCCAGCCACCTGTCTCCATCCACCTGTCCACCCTTCAATGGAGCTGTTAATCTTTTAAAAATAGAAGAAGTTTACTTAATGAGTTTTGAGAGGGCTTTACACGGTGTTCAAATAAAAAAAAATGTTAACGCTTGAAAATTGTGAAATTATGGACATTTTGATTCATAATACAAAGTATATAATTTTTACTGTGACGTGAACTAGAAAATCTTCAAGTCTTCTCAGGTAAACAGTTGATTGCATGGGCTCTGACTCTTTTGTCTTCAAAAGAGGTGACTGCAGGATAGGACAAAAGAGCAGGCTCGTGCCGATGCCCATAGCAGGACCCACTGGTTAACTGCCTATGGCATAGGAAATACAAAGCCTCGAGAATGTAGGGAATGAACTCTTGGATACACAGCCTCTGCCTTTCCTAGGCCTGTGTGGAGTGCTAAGTGCCTGTAGCTCATTGTGCCCGTGTGCCCTAATGCAGTGATGCATGTTGGCACAGGGACCTTCACACTATCACCTCTCAGGAGGTGAAGATGCACTGTACACCAGACTTTTATTTTTTTTCTTTTTTTTTCTTTTTTTTAATATAGAAAGGTGAACCAAGATGAATTTTTCTTCTGTTGTATCTAATTAAAATATCTTGTGTTTGAGATTTTTGGTGTAAATATTTATTGGTATGCTTTCAGGAGAAAATGTCTTGAAAGACTTCAGGTGAAGTTGCTTTACTGAGATGCAGTTTGCAATACAGCTGTGATTCTGGGGCTAGTAAAGGGAGGAAAGCACACCTTTTACAGTCTACCTAGCACTTTTTGTTCTGGTCTTTTGAACAGGGATGTGTGTGTCTTCAGGGAGGGACCGAGTCTTCCTTAAAGCCAAGGATTAAAGAAAAAAACAGAAAGATGTATCTGTCTCCTTGATGTATCAGAGCTGATAGTCGCTTCTCTGACCTTGTAGTCCTCATTCTGAGATGTGGCAACCCACTGCTTCTTAAGGAAACTAACTGTTGTGCTGAGGTGGGGCACATGGGTCCTTTCATATTTAGCTAACTGTACTAGGCTGTCACCCAGAGAGTGATGGGCACACTTCGTGCCCTGGGCTGCTGCCCTTGGTTAATGAGTTAAGTACGCCCTTAAGCAACTCGTTGCCTTGGCCTTCATCCCAGAAACATGAACATACCAGAGATGGTTTGCTCTTTTTCATTTACCCACTCTCTTTTTTAAAAACATGACCATCGGCCAGGCATTGGTGGTGCACACCTTTAATCCCAGCATTTGGGAGGTAGATGTAGGTAGATCTCTGTGAGTCTGAGGCCAGCCCAACCTACACAGTGAGTTCCAGGACAGCCAGAGCTGTTACATAGAGAAACCCTGTCTCAAAAGTCAAAAATGAACAAACAGAAAGTGACCATTCCTTGGAAATATTTTTTTTCAAACAGGAACCTTTATTAGGATTAATACCCGACAGGTGGTGATGGTGGTACACGCCTTCAATCCCAGCACTAGGAGGCAGAAGTAGACAGATCTCTGAGTTCCAGGCCAGCCTGGTTTACACAGTGAGATTCAATTGCCCAAATCACTGGGAGACAATGTTGACAGGAAAGGCGGTTTTCTTCTATTCTGATCAACATGCTCAAACATTCAAAAACAGTTCTCAGGTTTTGAGGAAGAACCCCAAGAATTCACTTTAATGTGAGAGTGTAAAGTGATGCTAGCACACCTCATGTGCTTGACCTTTGCTAGCAAGATAGGAGCCCCGACCCACCAGTCCACCTGCTGAAACTTGCCTACCCAGGCTCTTTCAGGCTCAGCTCAAGGGTCAATTCCAGGGTTTCCATTTATAACCAGGGCCTGGAGACTGCTATCGGAGCTGTCCAGGGGAAGCACGCTTCATTCATTTCAGGTGAATGGCTCCTATATGGGGGTCTAGCAAGTGCTCTCCTTATTTCACTCACAGAGCTTCTGGCTCTTGTGTCTGGGATCTCTGGGAGTGCCCGGGAGTAGGATGAATCCCTTGCCCTCCCTGGCATTGTTCTTAAGATACAGTACCCTTAGGGAGGCTCACTCAGAGCCAGGCAAATGCATCATTCATGTGGAACATTCTGTTGTTACTCAGCATGCTGAGAGGGGAGATGTAACATTGTTATCTAATAGGGAAACAATAGAATCTACTGTCTGGCAGCTGTGTGGGTGAGTGTGGTGGAAGGAACATCCAGTGGTGCTCAGAGGCCCTTTTTCCAGCCCTGGCCTGAGGACCCGGAGCTGAGAAGAGGAGGCATATACAGGCCTGCACAGAGGAGGCTGAACCTGAGGCTGGTAAAGCAGTGAATGTTCCCTGGCTTTCATCATAAATCTGTATTGACTATAACCAATGGCTTTGTCCACAAATATTAACTGCTGTAGCCAGGACCTTGTGGCCTGGGGAGGATAGGCTCATATATGACAGCCTCTGCTGTAATAACTAAGAGCTCACTGGTTTAGTTTTGTTTGGCTTTTCACTGTGGGTATTTCCTGATACTGTGCTTCGGTAAGGGTGTGGGGAATCCTTGGTAGACCACATAGCACAGCGTTATGACCAGTCCATGGGCAGCCTGTGTTCATGACATTTCCATCATTTCTGGCTCCCACTGCCCTGGGATTTCCCCCCCCCCCGGGGACAGAAGGGACAGACCTATAGGTACTCTATCCTCAGGCTTCTAAAGAAAAGCCCAGAAATATGGATGCTGGGGAAACAATTGGCAGGGAAGGTCTGCCATTGCAAGGTCATGGTTTGGTGCCCATGTGTGCAAGGAAGGTTTCTTCCTAACTGAAGGTGTCCAGTGCCCAGTGTCCCCTTGGTTATCACAGGCTCCCTTTCAGTTTAACCGCAAGGAGGAGTTTTGTCTACTGCTCTGGTTTATGGTTTTCCCAGTGCTGTTGGTAAAGGAGTCATAAACAATGTGAATTACTGCCAGGCATCGCATTTACTGAAAGCTTGCATCAGTCCTCAGTTCTCACTGCAGCCCTGAGAGTACATCCCCTCATCCGTGTGGACTATATCGTCAGCAGCCCAGAGCTTATCAAAAGTTCCTCCCAGTAGCAGACAACTATCAAGGGCTGGTCCTGCCTTGTCTCTGATAAGAATGGCACTTCATGGCCTCCACAGGTGGGTCATCAACAGAAGATGGAATAGAGCCACAGGGCCTAAGGACGACAGAGTCATCTGTTGGTGTCACCAGCCTACACTTTTACATCTCTGCTACAGAGTCCTGAGAACTCTGTGAGAAATGCTTGTGAGAAGTTACCTGAACATTCCTACTGCAGTTTATCTTTAAAACACAAGCTGTTCCAATTGCAAATAGCACACTGGTGTTTGGTGAGTTTTAGTGGGAAATCCAACATTTGCTTCTGCGTTCTTACATTATGCTCCAATTGGGACACATCACAGTTGGAACTGAGAGCCCCCTCTTAGACCCACAACAAGCTGAAAACAACACTGGGCACATGACAAGTGGCACATGGAGTAGGGATCATGGGATAACTTTTTCCTGATTTTTTTTTCTGGAATATTTCTAAAAGTATCCTAGAAAAGAGCACAGAAAATACTAAGTGCAATGTGTTTATGACTTGGGTTGTTTATTTAAATGTGACATCTGTCAATTAAGTTAATGAATGAAGAGGTTACAGGTTCCCAGCATTTCTAGAGACTTGGCGCCACAGCTTCAGCACATGAAAAGACCAGGTCATACCCCCAAAAGGGTCACCAGAGCTGGGCCAGGCTGGGCTGGCTGCTTCTTCAGAGCACATGGCTTGATGGATCTGTGTTCTCACTTTGGCTAGGTGTGGAGGCTGTATGGTGTTCTTGGCTCTCCAGCAGTGCCATTTGCCTCTTCAGCTGAGTCCTGCGTTCTACATGTAGGGTTCCCTC